TATAATACAAGTTATTTTTTTGATATATAACTAATAATAATTTTTTAACTACAATAAGTTTTGAATATTTTTTATATCATAAACCTTTGTTTTATAAAATTAATTAATAATTTAAAAGTTTAAATTAATTTAAGTAGTGTACTACCAGTAGTACACAAAAATATACAAAAAAGTTATAGTTTAAAAAGAATTTTTTTCTTATCAATTTTATTATTAATTATAAAAAAAATTATATTAAACTATACTATGGTAATTATCAAATTTTTATATAAAAATTATTTGCATTTATATTTTTCTGAATTTTTAATTTATTTTGGTTAACTGTACTATGGATAGTACCAAAAGTGAAATGCTATCCATTAAAGATAATTTATTTATGTTAATTTATACATTATAGAAATATTATAAATAAATATATTTTTAATTTTATTAATTTTATTGATTTTATTTATTTTTTTATTAATTTTGTTATCTTTTGTTATTTTGTTAACTTTTATCAGTTTGTTGCCTTTTTCTAGTTTTGTCACCTTTTGTCATTTTGTCATTTTATAAATTTTTTGTCAAAAGACAAAACCTAGTTCAACTTTTGTCAGTGACAAAACCCTTAGGTTTTGTCTAACAACATTAGCCGGGATCCAATGAATACAGCTGGGCTTGGGTTCAAACATAATGTCAAGTTATAAGGCTTTTTGTGTTTCAAGACCATGTATAACAAATGTATTTTTCCAATAGCGATTTTTTAAATTTCCGATATTATTATATTTACTGGACCTTGTAAACCTTTAATATAGGCATCAAAGTTTTTTGCGTATAATAAAGGGTTTATACTACCTATTAGCTGATTTGCTACAGAGGTATTTGAAAACGATTCATAAAGTGCATTATGTTATAAAATGGATAATCTTGAGATTAGGTCATCGGATAGTAAAGAATAAAAATTTACATTTAAAATATTTTGAAAACTATTATAACGACAGAATATAATTTACTTTAATTATCATTATATTAATCGATTACATTCAAATTTAGAATAAGCTTAAGTTGCTATTAAATTTAACGATTTATTAAGTATCAAATTTAGAATCAACCTAAGTGGCTTTTAGATTTCGTATCAATGTTTTAAGTGGGAATGGAACGATAATAGGGTTCGGAATCCATTTAGATTAGAACGGAATAACTATACTAAAAATCCCAACCCTAACCTTAAAAATTCCGAATCAACTTAAATTCTATTCCCACTGTAACCGTTGAATGGGAGAGCTAATAAAATAATGTAGAAAATATGCCAATCTAACTCCAACGGTGTACGGAAAATCAGAATAACTTTGGGTAAGCTGAATGGGTCTTTTATAAATGTTAAAGAACTAGTAGGGCGATAGGGTACTATAGAGTAATACTTTTATATCAATGAGTGATGATAATGGGATGCAATGACAGGTGATGCTTTTAAGGGTGATAACAAAGTGGTGATCTTAATTCTTAAGATAGGAGATAGTGCGGACGATGATCAAGTGATATCAGTAATAACTTTAAGTTCACGTGATGAATTAGCCGGGTCTGGTAACTATTACTATACGTAAGTCGCGTTTTCTACCACAATTCAAGCCACTAAGGTGAATGCCAATATTTGATTCCACAAGTACACCAGAATTCGAGTCGTAATAAACCAAATCGAAGTTACAAGTCAATTCAGTCCGTCGAATTGTGTTTCGAATGGGTTATTAAAGTTACAAGTCGAATTCAATAGATAATTCACAAGGGAAAATTCAGATAAGTATAAACTCTATTATTTATTAGTGAGTGAAAGTGGACAAGGAATGGAATATCGTTCTTTATTGAATTTCAGGCACTTATCTACATTATATTTCGTTAGAGCGCTTATTTTGAGCGTGTACGCTCTTTTTGAACGTATACGCTCTTGTTTTGAGCGTATACGCTCATGGCGCAAAGATCAATAAATTTGTGCAAGTACGTATACACGATTTTTTTGAACGTATACGCGCTTGCATAGAATAGCCACCAAGCCACAATCAACTACCATTTTAGTACATTTGATTAAAATATTTACACGATATGAAAAAAAAAGGTCGGTTACTGCTATGAAAATGGAATTAGAAAGAACTATACATAAAAAATAATAATATAACAATGGTAAAACCATGCCAATAAAAAGAATAAATGAATTAAATTAAAATAAAATAATAAAATTTTATTTTTTTTACACCACCTACGAGATCAACTTGGATTACATTTTGAATTCTGTTTCAATCTAATTAAATTCTAAACCTGCAATAATTCCATTTCAATGTACGCAAAACGATTATTACATATATTTAGAAAATAGATACGTAGATTACGATGAATGAATAACGCATGAAGTAAGAGAGTTAACTGAAACTGGCCGAATTAAATGTCCTCTCTATAATATTATTGCAGAATGGGTTAAGCATGCATGGTATGCCATTGATATTGAGCAAATTAAACGCTCCTTTAAATGTTGTGGCATCTTAGTTGCAATTGATGGATCAGAAGACGATTTAATTTTTGATCACGTTTGTGTTGAAAATAATGAAGTCGATGAATATATTTTTAGAAATGGTAAAGATTTGATTTCACAACTTCAAATTTGTAAAATTTCCTATCTCAGCAATATATTTATTTATTTATTTCAACAAGACCTCCCATACCTTTGTCTCAACAATACTGTACCTCCCATCTCAAAAACGCTTCCTACTACAAGACTTACCACTTCAGCACCTTCTACCTCAACAAGATTTCTTGCCTCAACAGAATTTTCAACTCTCAAGTTTTTCCGCCTAACCAGTATCAACAAAACATTCTGCCTCAACATTATTTCTTACCTCGACCACACCTTTTACCACAAGGGTTCTTGGTTCGACAAAATTTTTTGGCCCAAAAAGGTGGAAAATTTCGTGAATCGTTAGTTAATAATTGTAATAGCATAAATTTTAAAGTTTAAATAAACTTACCACTGATCTTAGAATTGCTAAATCCGCAATTAAATTGTGCAACATTCTTTCAGAAGATTTATGCAGCATGGCGTTATAATACGTAATTGGTCTCAAATAGTGATGGGACCCAAATACGGTATTTTTGCCACATACCGTACCCCAAATTGGCAAAACTAGTTTTTGAGACTTAGCCATTATTATGTCATAGTTTTTGGCATATGCCGTATCCCAAATTGGCAAAACTAGTTTGGGACTTTGCCGTGATTAAGTCATACGTAGCTTTGGCACATGCCGTTAGGGATGTTAAATTGTGAATCCAGTCCGGTCCGATCCTAGGATCTGCTAGGACGGTCCTGGATCTAGATCCTTGA